TATGGCAGCGGCAGCACATCACTGACAAACTCTGAAAATGAGAATGACAAAAGGTTCCCAAAAATAAAAACAGCATCTTCAGGAAAGTTCACAACCAGGGTGGCGATTAGTGATTCTGCTGGTGGGAGCTCACCGGCTAATCAACCACCGTTGGAGTACAGGCGACCGCTTCCCATTAATCGCAAAATAAACACCAGGCCTGAAAACAAAACCATGCAGGGCAGAATGTTCTGTTTGTGGTACACTCGAGCTGCTCTGTTTGCTTTCGTCAACCGGTTGCTATGGCAAAAGGTGTGTGTGTGGAGTGACCCTGACAGGAGAGCAAGGGAGAAAAACGGCAGAATTTGAGTGGTTTTGAGTTGTGCTTCACCCATTTTTCGGCGTTATTTTCACTTTGCTGCGGCGCACTGCAGCCGCTGTCATTTCTGACAGTAACAATAAACAGTATAAACTTGACTAATTGCCTTGTTTGATCATTCATCTGAAAACATTGGCAATTCTCTCACTTTTGATTAAAGCCTCGTTTAAAAGAAATCGGATAAGAAACGAGGATCCTAGGAACATTTCTGAGACAAATTCATCCACATTCCACTGCAGTACGCTACAGGTTTATTCCATTACTGGATCTCAGTGGCGTGTTGCACACAGCTGAGTGTAACTTCTGAATGTTGAACAGGAGAAACAACTGTAATTGTCTGGTGCTATGCTGAACTGATTTACTAATCCTATCTTGGCAGATTGGAACAACTACATCATAGATCATATTGGGTGTCCCTCAAAGTTCTGTTGTTGAACCACTTAAGTAGGAAAGCAAAGGCCTCTTCACATTGCTTACATTTTGGCAGGTAAGGCAGTCAGCTTGAGACTATATAAGAACCATCAGGACCAGCTGCTTGTATGTAATTACATGTGTGTTATTGAGCATGTTTCATTTTACCCATTGTATGTACAGTAAAAATACAAAAATACGCATTTGATTAAAGATGTAAGTTAAATATTGATGCTTGTTCTAATGACAAACAGTGCAGGTCTGAATTCCAAAATGACATGGTTTTTTGTTCAGTTGAGACTAATTGTTTTTTGTAAATGACTTGTGAACTCGGACTGTTGGAAACAACTATTTCGGGTAATGGTGCGATCTATCAATTATCCTTAGGATCAATCGAGTAATCTAATAAAAGAAGTGGTCCTGTTCAATGGTAGCTACATAAGCTACAACACAAAAGTGAAAATGGTCATAAAAAGCCATTTCAGTTCTCTTTTTCAACAAGAAGACATTTTATCACGCTGCTAATAACTCTTAGCATTCATTGACAGCTCATTGGCAGAACTGAGAGCATTGCGCAGCACAAATAATTATCCAGGCAGAACATAATGCACTAAATAATGAAACATAATTTAATAAACCCTAGAAATATGATTTGCGAAAAGACATTTTGATAACAGGATTAATCGTTTCAGCCCCACTGTGAGCATCTTTATCGCAGTAGAAAGTTGAGAGAAAGTTTATGATTAAATTGTGGAGCACGAAAACTCAGCAGGCAAAGTCCCTGTCAGGATTCAAACAGAAGATGCATTGATCATTTTATAACACCGCTGTTATCTACTCAGATCAAACACAGTCAAGAACTGAAAAATAACAAATTCACTCTGGACAATTTTTAGATTACGATAAGTTTCTAAGTTTCTATAATAGGAAGGTTGATCTCACCTTCATGTTTTATAGCCAAGTGATGGTCCGGACTGTTAAAAACAGCAACATCGAGGAGAAATTAAATCCCTTCTGACTCTTTTGTTTGACTTCTCTCTAAACATCATAAGGACAAGTTTGTTTTAATCTCTAAAAAAAAAAAAAAATCTGGCTGTGCTCCTTTTTCTAACAAATGTCTATATTAAGAAGATGTTAGGAAACATGAAACGTGACAACGCAATAAAAGCAAAAATCTGAGACGGATGGGTGTTTTTAAACGCTGGTGATGTGATTTTAATTCCAACGTTGTGCTCAGACGCTTTCTTCCACATGAGCAGCTTGTGGATTTTGGTGAATGTTTATCTTAATTAAAACATCTCCAGAAGCCCACAGCCAACTTTAAATAAACTCTGGTTTGTCAAAACATTCACCACATTCCTAGACTTAATCCCATTTCTAATTTCAACATAAACTGCTCCAATAATGAAGCATAGATTTTATGCACCAGGGGATGGGGAGTAATTCAAAGATGATCTACTTTTGCACAATCAGCACAGTATTTTTTTATATATATAGCCAAGTTGACATTTGGCTCATGTTCACTGTTCATGAGCTCAAAAAGCCTTGAAAATGTTTCACTGGCAGATAATTTCACATATAACCTGGGAAAATGTCTTCTTTGTTTTGAATTTTAATTAAACAACATTTTTACATTTTGTCTTATTTCAAGTGATCTGAGATATTTGCTCTAAAACTTTGATTTAAAAAAATACTTGGTAAGATTTTGCGTTTTTGCTGTGGAAATATGTTTTATTTTCTTCAGTTAGTCGAAATAAAAGTCAGGAATATTTCATAAAACATTCGAGGTTTGTAGCTAAAGGTTGTAAATGATCATTTCTGCTGGGTCTTGCAAGAGGAATTTTGTGTGCTTTGCTCGATTTTTACTGGTTCTTTTCAGATTTGCAAAAGTGCATTCAAGCCCATTTTCAACGACGACAAGGAAAATAAAAGTTAATGACAAAAGAAAGGTATCTGCTTATGAGACAGTTTTTAAGTAGCATTATTGTTCTTGCAAGTTTTGAATTTTTCAATAGAAGCAACATATTTGTAAGTTAGTTTGTTCAAAATTAATGCATGAGGGAATTTTTGTTTCACTTCATTTCATCTTATATAATATTTTGCTAGGATTATAGCAAAGTCACCAAACAGCACCTTTAGCCCTATATATAGACCCACTGACTGATTACAAGAACATAGACCCAGTGATGCTAATCAGTGGACACACCTTGAGTCAACATGCCCCTTTGGTCCCATTATTTCCAGAGGTATCATCATTTTTGTCCAGGCCTGTTTCATCAGTTTATATTTTTAAATAACTCTGCTGAAGCATGTTCGAAAAGCAATGACTCACTTCCATTTGTTCATTTCTATATAATTTTTATTCATCATCGTTTTCAGATTCAAGTCATTTCTGCGACAATTGTGGGTTTTTTTCTTTCATTAACCGAGTGGTCCCAACAATTTTGTCTATGCGTGCATGATGCAGTTATGATTAGATATGTTTATACAGAAGAGCATGGCATGACAGAACCTGCTGGTGGAACTAAGCTAATTTGGCTGTAAGTTGTACAACTGAGAAGGAGCAATGCAACAAAAAATGTTGAACCCCTCGTTTTCTAAAAGGATGTTTTTGGGAAAATATTCACATATTTTTTTCTTCTTCTTCTTTGAAATATTTTAATATAATTAATTTTTGAATATATGACAAAAAGACATTAAATTTCAAAACTTGTAAAACTTCTTCAGCTAATGAATTTAGCTGAAGAAGATTTACATTTTATCTTTTGTGCTTTATTTTTTCCACACGCACTTGAAGAGAATCTCATCCAGATCAGAACGTAGCACTTTGCTGCCCTCTAGTGACGAAAGAACATATGACGCTGCTTTGCCAAACAGAACTCTACCATAAACAGTGAAGTTCCTGGCTAACCGTCTGTTAAATGTCCTTTTAATAGATTCACAAACAGGTGTAAAATTATAACCTATGTTGTTATGATCTTTAAAGAATTTAATACCCAGATAATTTAGCGAGTTTTACAGGTAAATTTCAGTAACAACTGTCACTTATAAGGGAAGGAGTTCAGGTGGTTTTTCAGAATAAGTTTCAGGCCTAAAAAGCTCTACAAACCTCAGCTGAAATAATTAACCACAGACAAATGAACAGGCTCTGTAAAATACTTTTCCTTAACATTTATTTCTTTGCAGTTAATTATCACAATAAAACACATGACATAATGACGCCTCTCGCCCTTTAACTGCTGAGATCCACCCATCCATTATCCAACATGCTGAGGTGAGGTCATCAGGGGTGTTGGTGACCCCACAATGGATAATGGATGGGTGGATGGTTGACTGATATATTTAAGGCCAATTTTGAGTATTTTGTTTAATTAAAGACCTTTTGAATCCTTAATTTTAGATTTGAAGCATTTCCAAGACTTTATATATAAGGATCTGCAGACATGCCTGTTTTCTGGAACTCAGGAATGAAACGCTCACACAGTATCTCTGCAATAATTTATGTCCTTTGATCACACATTGTAAATTGATTCACATTCTTCGTAAAATGATCCGGCACTACAAGTATCTGTGTGAGGGCAGTTCTGTAATGTCTGTACATACAAAGTGTAAAGGTCTGTGTGCCTATATGGACCGGAAGGCGGTTCTGCTCTGAGGGACAAGTTTTCAAGCTTCACATGTATGGCATAAGGTACAAAACCATTTAATGTCAGACGTCACACTTGGTCAAAAGCACATAGGGAACGTTTTTCTAAGCATGCAATCAGCACTGTAATGATCTGAAGATGGGTCACAAAATAAACTACTTGAAATTAGAGTTGGAAACTGCCAGCATGGCTTTTTTCTTTCTATTATGTACAGATTCAGGTCTCTCTAAATTCTCCCTAGGTATGTGTGTGTGTGTGTGTGTGTGTGTGTGTGTGTGTGTGTGTGTGTGTGTGTGTGTGTGTGTGTGTGTGTGTGTGTGTGTGTGTGTGTGTGTATGCCCACACATTCTGCCATTCATGTTAAATGATACTTGCATGTGAACTCAGCGGGTGACCCGTGATGTTTCTCCTGCAGAACGCTGCAGCGTTCTGTGTGAAAGGTGTGTGCAGGTGATATTCCAGTGATGCGGGGAGCAGCAGGCGCTTCCTGCCGCCTGGCCCGAGCTCAGCTGTCACGGCCAATGGCGGCGCAGCGGGGGCGGGGACAGCCGGCACATTACAGATACTCCAGCGTAGTATCGCGGCCAGCAGCAGACGAGTCTCCAACTCAGTCTGCCGCCCCTCCGTATCCTCTGGTTCATGGAGTGTACACTTTCCATCCAAGTGCAACAACTGCTGGGGGTCCACCCGACGCACCACTACGAGGGCTACAGCGTGGAGTTACAGGTACCTTCCCTCTGCACCCGCTCGCGCCTGCCTTCTTTTCCCTGACACGGGGAGGGAAAAAAGTAAACGCGTGTGAGTTTGAATATGCTGCCTTGCAGAGGATGAAAGGCACAGCTGTTGGTGCTGCGTGCTGATTTTTGTGAGCATCCCGGATTGTTGTCGCGCGCGCGCGCTTCCTCTAGGAGCCGAAACGAAGCGGCGCGCGGCGCGGAGCCCCGCGGGTCTGATGGTGAATCTGATAGAGTTAAAAAGTAAGCTAACCCTCCCGGAAGGGTCCCGGGGGATGCCCCCTTTGAACCGGTTCTCTGCTGCGGACAGGACAGAGGCGGTCTGTGTTCGCCGGGCTCTCTTTTGAACCTTCGAGTCAGATTTCCCGCCGACAGTCTGTCGGAGTGGCGTTAATTTCGCTGCCCGTGGGAGCGAAATGAACCCCACTGCCGTGTCACGAAATAATAATAAAGCAAGAACGTGAGCGTCAAGTCCCCGTCCTGCGCGTGCCTCCCCAGGTTGCTCCGCGTGCTGCAGAATGGCCCCACTCTCCTCTGAAGGTGACATTTAAGGCAGAGGGAGAAGAGGAGTGGGCGAACCTTCTGGGTCACGATTTCATTTAAAACCCCAGAACAGACTGAATGGGTTTCAATGTCAGGCTTATTGAGATGTGATGAATGTTTTTTTTTTTCTCTGTTTTTCTGCTCCACCTGCAGGGGGTCAGAGGGTACTTCTTCTTTTTTTGTTTGTTTTATTTTTAATTTACCTCCAGTGTTTTTTAAACAGATTTAGTTTGTTTTCATGTTTAGTTCTCTACAGTCAACAGCAGTGTAAATTAAGCCAAACTGGCACATTTCTGACTAGCGTATCAGAAATGCAAAGGTCAGGAGATTTTATGGTCAGTCTCTGATGACCAGTTTTGTAAAGCTTTGATCTGCCAATTCAGTAGATGAAATCATAATGGGACGATAACAGAGATAAACATTTCACGCTTTCGCAGTATTACGGTGTTATGATTGCACCATGAATGTGTTTCTGGTGCAAAAGTAGTTGTGCCCTGAAGTTAGAAGAGGAGTGGGTGATGTGGGTAAGTTTTATCACAATATTTTGTGGCGCTATTGTGATAGTGGTGATGACAAGAACTATTTAATGCTTCTTTTTATAGCTGGCACATCATAGTCTCTCAAACACAAATGCTACTTTTGAAAAACATTCCCATTTTTCGTATCCTTCTTTAGGACCCCAGTCTCATAAAGAAGGTTGATTTAAACAATTAAACTGTACAACAAGCAGCCCTTATTGCTGCTTTCATTGAACAAACAGTGGAGAAAATAGTAAAAATAACAAAACTAACAATGAGGGCAGTTTTTTAAACATCCTTAATTGGAATTTGTCGTGATAAGGTAAAGTCAAACTTATTGTCATTATAAGAACTTTAGCCTGATAAATGATAGTACTATAAATCCCCACCATTAAGTCAGAAAGGAAGAAAAAAAAAAACCTATGTAGGAATTTTGTAATTGTGGGTTATTGGAAATCTTTTACAAATGCAAATTGTTTTCTTTGAGGGCTTGTGATACTGCAGCTGAAGGTAACTGATGGGCTTTAATCTGTACTTTATATCTGACCAGACAAAAAAGAAAAAGAAAACAAAAAACTTATATTGCGGCAGAAACAGCACGATGGAGGATTTTGAAACCATGACCTTTGTATACCTTGAAACCAGTAACTTACTCACGGTACAAATGGCAAAAGGACAACAAAATAGCCCGAGTGCTTCTGTCAAGACCAAAAATGTCTTTCTCTGGTTGTATTAGACTGGGCTTGGTAGGTCAATACTAGAGCTGCACAGATCTGATATTGGAAAGGAAAATTCTAGATAGGGTATCTGTGACAATGTGCCTGATTCATAGGGACAGATCTACTCAGTCTAATGGCACTGGCTGAAGAAATTAATGTTGTTTTTCCATGTTGACCAAGCTTGTTTAGTATTGGTGTATATTAAGTTATCAAATTATTTTGTAATTCAGTCCATTTATGTTTGTTTTAAATACACAACACTTATATTTATATTTAAAAACAACAAAAGGGGTTAAGTCAATTCAGTATTTTCTTCTGTATGACATTGGTATCAGTCGATGCCAAACTTCAAATATCGGTATCGGAAGTGAAAAAGGTTCATCCTTTTTAAATACATAGAAAATAGCTAGAGAGAAAGATGTAGCAGATAAAGATTGAAAGACGGAGAGAGACAAACCGATAAAAGATAGTTAAAGAGACAGAAAGATAGAGAAAGACCGATTAAAAAAGGATATATTACTGAAGAGGGATATATAAATACAGCACATAAAATTAGAATAAAGAACATTTTCAGTCTTTTTTCTTCCTTGTTAATGTTCTGTGAAATGATGTATTCAAGACACGTTCAACTACTTCTTCAATAACTGTTAGATGTATTTTGTCTGGGCTAATAGCAATCAACTCAGTTGCACAGCGTGATTGCTGTTCAACTGAATTAAATTGTTAGTCTTTGCAACAGCCTTTCCCCCCCAGACCAAGTCCCTGGGGGAAACTCTGCGTTCACAGGGAAAAGTCTGCTCAGTCAGGTCACCTGTCGGTTCCTCCGTGCAGGTCTATTTGTTGATTCCTCAATGGACAGACCTGTCTGTTGGTTTTTCCAGTTTAAAAACGAACTATAGCAGAACAGATAAAGGTCATTAGTTTACATTTCAGAGATATAACATCTGCTCATTTGCAGTTGCCGTTTGGATCATTTTTCTCTCTCACAGCAACTTTAAAACACATTTAGTGCGGCGCTCTCTAAACTCAGGCTGTTGTGTTTGATTTTTAAATGCAGTTTTTTTGCTGCTGGTGTGTGTTGGCAACCCAAACAGTTAAGATGTTATTGACTTGACTTATCAGACACTTTTGGGATGTAATTCAAACATATATGTTTCGATTGAAATCTGCTACAGTTTGGAAGTACCTCAAAAGACAAAAATTGAATAAATTAAATACTTTGGTGAGCCAAAACATGTACAACTTGATACTATCTGACTTATTAATATCTGTGTTTAACTTCCACTATCTGTGTTTAACTTTGGGGACTTTTTAAAACGATGTGTCAGAGTCAGGCGTTCTCTCTCGGTGAGCCGGACCTGGAGCGCCCGGCCGGCCAGCTGGCTGTTAATTCAGCGGGAGCAGACATCTCTAAAAACCTCGGAGCAATATTGCAGTTAGATGATTGATGAACTGAGCAAACATTTGAGATTTATACATCTACAGTCTTGCCTGAAAACATTGTAAAAAATGATTTTGTGCAATTTGAAGTGTAATACAGCAAAATAATTTTGCTGCTCTTCACAGCCATTGCCCCGGTTTGAACCTGCATTGAGTCATGTGGGTTTGAAGGATGCGGACCCATCCTTCAAATCTGGGGGAAAAGAAGGACACATTTTCAGGCCGCATTTAGAGGAGTCTTGGAATAGTCCATGTGCCACGAGTAGTGTTGACGGACTTCCATTTAATCTTAAACCACATCGATTTTTTTCTGTATCCTTCTTTTCCTTCATTTTATTTGTGGTTGTAGTCTTTTTTTTGTTTTGTTTGTGTCTCTTCTCTGTTGCTTTGGCTTTTTATGTGTTTGCTGTGCGTTCGAACCTGTTGGACACCGTACAAATGAGACAAACATGGAGGGGGCAAACACCGCAGTAGAGCTGATGTTTTTATGTTTGACTTTAAACTGAGAAAGAAAGTAAATACTGAGTCTTCCTGTTGACAGCCACTAGAGGCACTGGATTAAACCAAACGACTATGGCTTCTATTTACTGCCGAGTGTTTCTTTCACTCAAATATTTAATGTAACAGAACGTTACGCCTGGTCAGGTCATTTTTGCCTATAGCAGATTTAGGTAGAAAAATCTATTTTGGAATTCCACTCCACCGCTGTGACAAGAACCTGGGAATAAAATGATTTTCACCACACAGCTGTAACAGCCAGAACTGATTTGGCCTGTTTAGCTCGACCATGCAGAGAGACCTTTACTATTAATACTCTCATCAAACAGATGTGCCAAAAACAACATGATGTGTCGAATTTTAACTCATGTGCCTAATCAACTCACGACGTCTTATTTATGGCATAACTGATGTTTTAACACAACGATTGTGTCACTCAAATCAACACAAATGTGTGTCATTTTGACAAACATACATATAAAATGAATTATCATAGATTAGGTTAAATAAAAAAACTTGACACTTTCATTTGAGGTCATTAAAGATACTTTTATTATAAATAAGTACATTACAAGAATAAAGCTGATGCAGTATCAGTACATACCACAAATACTAAACAGTTTAAATAGAATGCTAACAAAATACCAGTTTTTCTAACGTAATTCAACACAAAACCTTTTATATCAATAAAACAACATGCTTGCATAATATTTGTTGCAGCATTCAGTAAACACTGAAGAAAAGCATTGCAATAAACTTAATAAACAAGATCATGAAAATTGCACTCCATTTGCAACATCTATTTACAACACAGTACAGTCATAAACCAAGGTGCAATATTTTGTATCTTGGTGCCACAAGATACACTGTACATAATACATGATGCATGAAGATTCATGATACAAGACAAATGCAAGATATCTATGGTGCCAAAACTCCACAGAACCTCTAAACCAGGGGTGTCCAAACTACGACCCGCAGTTTGTTTTTAATTCTATTCTGTCTTATAAATAGAATAGAATAATAAGTGCAAATCACTTTTTCTTGAGTGTATTGCACTTCTTAGTTTTAAAACCAGGGACAGTTACTGTTGATCAAGACATTTGTTCCACCAAAAAGGACAATCACAGAAGAAAGTTACTAAACATGGCGGAGCCAAAGAAGCGAAAGGTAGAAAGTGAATGTAAAAAATCTCAAATGGTGGGAAAGTGAATAGAACTGCTTATCCACAGGCCAATCTTTCTGCTAAAAAAGGGAATTATGTGTCTGATTAC